AGTAGAAGTTACCCTTTTGTCAGGGAAATTTATATTTATAAAGGAAATCTCCATTTGTGAGGGTGTCTCATTCTCAGTACCAGGAAGAGAGGAATGACTAAAATCATGTGAAACTTATCAGTGAAGAAAGCAGAGACTTAAATCTTCATAACAAACCTTACCTTTTACTGTGCTTTTCCTGGTAACTTCCCATAACTGGTCTCTCTGTTCCCCCAACATCTTTCTTTTGTCTTTGGCTAAAGATATTAGTATTTAAGGTGCTAGCCATCTCAGCTTCCCTGGGTATCTCGCATCCGCACATGAGGTATACATGTTAATAAACTTCTGTTCGTTTTTCTCCTCTTTGTCTTTTATTACAGGAGGTCTCAGCCAAGAAGGGTAGAGGGAACATTATTTTTCCTCCTCTAAACGACTGATTTAGCAGGAAGGAATTCAGAATCAGGATTCAGTTGATTTATAGAAAATACATGTGATATCCTTGCACACAGGTTTGTGGCCTGTTCAGAGTTGGGCATATATTTGCACCCCTGGAACTGGAGTCATTTAATGTTGAGACTTTGTTGGGGAATTGATGTTGTTAATTTAATTAAACAAGGAGGCCATCCAGCTGATGTGGCTCTCATGCCGAGGGGGCCTACAGAGACAAACCAAAATCAAACCCTGTAAATGCCTCCAGATTAGGAAACCAAAACGCTAAGGTCAACTAATCACAGACAGCCAACGAGGCTTTAAGCTCTAGCCAATCAAACACTTTCTTTTCTTTGCTTCTGCACCTTCTCTAATAAAGTCCTTTCTCTGGCTCCTGTCCTGGGGAGCTCCTAACCACTTCTGGTTTGGCACATTTCAACTGAAATTGATTTTTGCTCAAATAAACCCTTGACATTTAAAAATGTGCCTCAGTTTATCTTTTAAAAATATGCAGATGTGAATTTGGGTCTTTAGAAGTCTGATCACTGAGGGAATACTTGGAGCCTCTCTGGATAGCAGGTTTGAAAGTGTGTCACTGAAGAATTTAAACCGTTCAAGTGGGATCAGTATTGTTGGTAGAAAGGAAGAAAAGAGGGTGATTTTGAGTTTGCTCAAGATATCTCATTTCCTGTAGCTTCTAGTGTTACCGAACCAAAATTGGGTCCTGTTTGCCCATGTGCAGGAAAGCCAATCTACTGACACTGGGTTGTGATGAAGGAAAGTGTAGCATTTATTGTAAGACACCACACAAGGAGTCTGGGGCAGCTAACGCTCAAAAAGCCCAAACTCCGGACTTCCCTGGCGGTCCAGTGGTTAAGACCCTATGCTTCCACCACAGGGTGCACGGGTTCGATCCCTGGTCGGGGAACTAAGATCCCACATGCTGTGCAACGCAGCCAAAAAATAAATTAATTAATTTAAAAAATTAAAAAGAAAAGGGCTGATTAGTAAAAAAAAAAAAAAATGTTGTTTCTTTTAAAAAAAAAGCCCAAACTCCTTGATGGGTTTCAAGGAGGCACTTTTAAAGGCCAGGTGAGGGAGAGGAGTTGCAGGGTGTGTGATCAGCTTGCATGCACAATTCTCCGAATGGCTGATGGTGAGGTAACAGGGTGGTGTCACAGGGGTTAACATTATCAGTCCTCAGACTCCAGCAGGTCTGGGGGGCTACATGCTCATGGTCATCTGGCAGTTAACTTCTTTCATTTAGTGGGGGTTTTATTTTATTTTTTGTCCATGCTGCTTGCGGGATCTTAGTTCCCTGACCAGGGATTGAACCCATGCCCCCTGCAGTAGAAGCACAGAGCCCTAAGCACTGGACTGCCAGGGAGTTGCTTTGGTGAGGTTTTAGCATCTGTAAAACAATTCAGGAAATGTGCATCAGGTATTGTTATTAGGTACTTCAGAGAGGAGCTACAGCAGAGGACATGGGGGGAGGGGTCTGTCCAAGGAAGGCCCCATACAGTCCTGCTTTGTTCCATTAGCAGTATACAAAAAAAGGGAGGGGTGTAGAAGGTGATTTTTAAGACCTCTATCTCAGTCTCTGACTTTCCAGAAAAACTTCCTTCAGAAAAAGGAAGATGTAGAGCAGCCACATTCCTGGATTCAAAACAGCTTGTGTGTCTGCAAGCCTGGACTGTGCCTCTGAAAGTAAGAGTGGGTGTTATGGGTTGAATTGCACCAAAAGCTATGTTTAACTTCTAACCTTGTACTTGTGATTGTGACTTTATTTGGAAGTAGGGTCTTGCAGATGGAATCTTGATGAGTTTATACTGCAGTAGGGTGGGCCCTAATCCAATATGACCGGTTTCATATGAAGAGGGGAAATTTGGACAGAGGCACACATAGAGAGGAGAACGTTCTCTCCACAAATGTAGCAAAGAAATAAACCAGTTTTATTATTGAATATGCACTGAACCAGACTCTAATGCAAATCACAGGCAATCCTCTAATGAGATTGCAAAGTGAGAACACTCACCCTTGCAAACAGCCAAGTATATATGATCCCTTCCATACATGTTCTCGAGATAAATAATAACAAGCCCCCATGTAAGAGGACTTCGGCAGCACTGTTTATTATACATTCTTTCATAGTTCATCCTAAATTTACTTGGTAACTGGCTAGGCTGCCTGTGTTAGCTAACTGCCATTATCTGAAAGGAAAACAAAACTTTTCAATCTCTGTGACTTTTAGCTTGGAACGAGGTGTTTTAGGTTAAATTCCCATGGTGACAGGGAGACAGGGGGCGCTATCTTCCTTCATGTTTACAAAGAGGTGGCTCCCTAGGCCCTAAGAAAAGTTCCTGGGTTGTAAAACAGGCAAGAGGCTCGTTTAGCTGTTCAAAAGATTTCTATACATATCAGGGTGATGAGGAAGGATTTACAAATACAAGCTTTCTCAAGGAAATACCCTGGGAAAAGGAAAGTCTCTTTCCTTTTTGTCAAGAGGGAAAATTCAGTCTTCTTTACCCTTACACACGCCTTTCCTTATGGGCAAAATAAACGTTCTATAGAAGAATTCACCCGTGAAGAGCCAATAAAGAGGAGGCCAAGACATATTTATGAGAATGTATTGGTGGTTCCAGGAGGCCAGGGAGGAGACATGTTGGTTCCTCTGGGGGCATCTATTTTTCTTCTTGAAGGATAGCAGCGATATGGGAGTAGGAGTGATACTGGCAGAAGTACCCATCAGGTGAAGGATTCCTGGTAGGGAGAAATGGGAGAAATTGCCCTCTCACTTGGATGCCACTGTCCTACTCTGCCCTTTATTGTGGGCAGAAGGGAACCACAGGGTCCTCTGGGTCTGTTGGCACTAAGCATAAAGAGGGCATAACTGGGGACTTCCCTGGCGGTCCAGTGGTTAAGACTTCATCTTCCAATGTAGGGGGGTGTGGGTTCGATCCCTGGTTGGGTAGCTAAGATCCCACATGCCTTGCGGCCAGAAAACCAAAAACATAAAACAGAAGCAATATTGTAACAAATTCAATAAAGACTTTAAAAATGGTCCACATCAAAAAAAAAAAATCTTTAAAAGAAAAAAGAGGGCATAACTGGATAGTGGTGTAAAAATTAAGCACACACTGCTGCCTTAACAACAAATAACCACTGCTCATCGGTGGTATGAAGCCTCTGCGAAGCATTCCCTGTGCCTAGTACTGAGCTCCCTACGTGGACACAGTGTGTGAGAAGGACAGTCTCCAAGGGGAGTCATCCCCAGAAGGGGAAAGTGAAATACTTTCCCAGGACCAGGCTCACCTTTTTCATCCTTGGAGATTTGGGGGATCAAACATTTCACCACGCTGGGTCTGGTACCAACTTCCCCCTGCCAGCAGAGAAGAGAATTGAGCATCATTTGGTCAGATTGCTGATTTGTAAGGCAACAGTCTTGTCAGCAGAGGAGTGATACTTTCACTAAAAGGTCTCAGCAGATGTAATGGCAGGACAGACCAGGAGTGTGACCTAACTCAGGCTGTCTCAGAGAGAGAGCCATTGGGCCCTCTCTGTTTCAACGGAGAATTTTGATCTTACCGAGAGGGTCCAGGCATTCAGGGGCTGAGCTGTCCCGTAAGTTTAAAATGCATTCTCCCAAACCTCACACTCTTGCAGTTCAAACACATCACTGGTAGTTAAAGCCGAACTGCTACATTATAACTAATTTGCCAGCACCCAGCTTTATATTGAATACTTTAACTAAATTAGTGTGCTAACTACAGAAAGTCTTACTACAGTACATAGTTTAGAATCTAAACACTCCCAATCGCCCCTGCTCAACTGGAAGGGAAAGACCGTTTGTTTGGTAAGGCAAATAACACCGTCAGGTAGTGGTATTCCACTGGGCAATTCCTGCCTTTGCCAATTACACACTTTAGTTGGTAATTTTGAGACTCCCAAATACGCTATAAAACTTTGCTCCAGAAGTGTACAAACAAAACTCATAAAAAATGTTTTGAGATTAATTTCAGATGTTTCATGGATCCCCAGAAGTACTCCCACAAAGAGAAATTCCTCATTCCTGGTGCTCCAATCTCTCGCTCTTAGAATTTCTCTAAAGCTTGTTCCCCTAATCCACGTCAGGAAGAACTTTCCAAATTCCCAATTAAACGCAGATCCTGCCGGGACATCAAATTTGGCCGAAAAAGGGCTATCAGGTTCTTGAGCTACGACGGCGGTGGGATGGCCCCCTTCGTCAGTAAAACAGATGCCTTTATGGAATCTGCGGACCAGTCTACGTGTGGAAAGAGGATTTGTTTCCTTTCAGCCTCTGGGGTTTCCATCGGCAGTCTATGGGAAATGAATATAAGTGCCACTTCTGGTTCCCAATACTACGGCAGCTGCGCATGTGCAAAGCCGCCCTGAGAGCGCTTTGGGTCTGGGCAGGGCGGGGCGGGGCGAGGGAAGACCCGCCCCCTCCCATTCGCCTCGGCCTTAACTCCTTCCCATCCGTCCGCCAGCGTCTCTTTCTTCACCTCTGACCTCGGAAAGAAGGGGGTGGGGCTTTTGGGGCGGAAGTAGCAGTGCATTGTGGGCTCGCTTAGAGTTGAGCCTGAATGGAAGTGGCGCGCCGCTGCTGACATTATCACGTCCGGGCGGTTGGGGTTCGGACGCCGGCCGGGGTTCGGGTACCTCGACCTCGGGAGCAGACCGGAGCGCGAGGAGGCGGCGGCGGTGGCGGCGCGGCGAGTTGGTGGAGGGGGCGGCTGTGCACGGCCCCAAGACATGGCTCACAACAAGATTCCCCCGCGGTGGCTAAACTGTCCGCGGCGCGGCCAGCCGGTGGCAGGTAACCGGGACGGGAGGTGTTCGAGTCCCCGCGCACCGGCGGGTCCGGGGGTGGGCTGAGTGGGGCGCAGCTTTTCGGTAGTGATGTTTCAGGACCGAGACGTACTCGGTCCGATGAAGCTTCGTGGATGAGTGGATGAGTGTTTGGGAACCTGGACTGGAGGGAGTGGGGGCACTTGTCACTCTTCAGTAAGGCTAAGTATTGCGAACGGGAAGGTAGATAGGAGCTTTGTGTGGCAGGAGCCGAGAACCCAAGAACCCAGTGGGTAATAATACTTTGAAGCTTAGTCAGGAGTTTGTAAACCTTTGAGGGTTCTCGGAAGGGGAAGGGACAAGTGTCGGTTTTGAGAGGAAGGCTAAAGGGAGGGGCAGTTCCCGGCGGTGAAATTCATCCACACCGAGACTGGAGGTTTTTGTTTTGTTTTTTAAATGATTCTTAATTGAGGACTTTTTCATCTTTGAGTTTGACACGACAGACTTTAAGGTGTACAGTTTGAAAGTGTACAGTTTGATAAATTTGGACCACAGGCGCACACACACACCCTGTGAAGCACAATCAAGATAGTAAACACAATCATCACCACTCCATGTTTCCTCCTGCCCTTTGTAATCCCTCCCTCCCTGAGGCAACCAGTGATTTGCTTTCTGTCACTACAGATTTAGTTTGCATTTTGTTTAATTTTTAAAATAAATGGAAGCATACTCTTTTTTGGGGGGGAGGTCTCTGGCTTCTTTAACTCAGCATTATTATTTTGAGATTTTCATGCTGTGCTTGTACGTATCAATAGCCCATCCCTGTTTACTGCCGAGTAGTATTCCACTGTTATGGATACACCAGTTTAAATTGGTTTGTCCATTCACTTGTTGATGGTCCTTTGGGTTGTTTCCAGTTTTTGGCTGTTGCATACTAACTTGCTATGAATATTCATGTGCAGTTCTTTGTATGGACATATGCTTTCATTTCCCCTGTGTAAATCTCTAGGAGAGGAATGCATCGCATGATAGGTGTAAGTTTAACCTTTTAAAAAACTGCCAGACTCTTTTCCAAGTTATAACATTTTGCATTCCCGCCATCAATATATGAGAATTCTGTTTGCTCCACATCTTCTCTAACACTTGATTTGATCAGTCTTTTTAATTTTACCCATTCTAATAGGTGCTTAGTACTATCTTACTGTGGTTTGATGTTGAGCATCTTTTCATGTGCTTCCTGGCAGTTCACATATCTTCTTTTGCAAAGTGTCCAAATCTTTTGCAGATTTTTAAAATTTGGTTGTTTATTTTATTTTTGAGTTGTTAGTGTTCTTTATGTATTGTAAATACAAATCCTTTGTTGAATATATGCTTTTAAAAGTCTTTTCTGGGCTTCCCTGGTGGCGCAGTGGTTGAGAGCCCGCCTGCCCATGCAGGGGACATGGGTTCATGCCCCAGTCCAGGAAGATCCCACATGCTGCCGAGTGGCTGGGCCCGTGAGCCATGGCTGCTGAGCCTGTGCGTCCGGAGCCTGTGCTCCACAACGGGAGAGGCCACAGCAGTGGGAGGCCCGCGTACAGCAAAAAAAAAAAAAAAAAAAAGTCTTTTCTCCCGTCTGTGGCTTGCCTTTTCATTCTCTTAAAAGTTTCTTTTGAAGAGTTAAAGTTTTAAATTTTAACTAACTCCAACTTAATGCTTTTTCTAGAAGGTGTTTTGAAACAAAATTAAAGGATTTTGTAGTGAGCTATGCATACTTACTAATTATGTACACAACTATAGTATGTCTGCCTAGTTATTTAATTAATTAATTATTTTAAAATTTATTTATTTATTTATTTATGGCTGCGTTGGGTCTTCGTTGCTGCGCGTGGGCTTTCTCTTGTTGTGGCTAGTGGGGATTACTCTTCTTGCAGTATGCGGGCTTCTCATTGTGGTGGCCTCTCCTGTGGCACAGCACAGGCTCCAGGTGTGCGGGCTTCAGTAGTTGTGGCACACGGGCCCAGCAGTTGCAGCTCCAGGACTCCAGAGCACAGGCTCAGTAGTTGTGGTGAACGGGCCTAGTTGCTCTGCGGCATGTGGGATCCTCCCGGACCAGGGCTCGAACCGGTGTCCCCTGCATTGGCAGGCGAATTCTTAACTACTGCGCCACAAAGGAAGTCCCAGCCTAGTTATTTTAAGTTGTTGGAAGAGAAGATTCTCTAGTCATTTTTTAATTCAGGTTTTCTGGTTCTTCTAGTTTGTCAGCTTTTCTTCACATTTTATATAAAATTCTCAGTTAATAAAGCCATATAAATGATGGATAAAAGATAATCTAAGCAAGCCTTGGGGTGAGGAAATGGGTTTCCTTAACAAAAATGAATAATTTTTTTTACGTTCTAATCATTTTTATAGGATTTTCACTTGTGCTTGATAGTCATTGTACTCTCTTCAGATGAATTGATTACAATTCATCTCACTCTTCAGACATTTTGACTTTTTTTCCTTTCGCATCTCTAACTTACTGTTGAATCCTTTCTTTTTACATGTGGCTTTCTCTATGGAGTTATGAAGAAACCTCTAAACTTAGATGTCTAGCTTCTTTTTTAACCTGGAGCATGTTTCCTGGATCCTTTCATTAGAGTTACCTGCTGCCCTGATTTGTGAGAAAAACAAAATCATAAAGAAGGTCTTGTCCCAGTGAATATTTTTTATTTGGAATTAGAAAAACAGTTTTAAAATCAGAATTTTAATATATTCTGCAGATGGCAATGACAAATATCAGAATACTGACTTTTTCCTAGATGATTGGGGCAAATGTGGTACTGACTGGGGGCGGACAGCAGCAGATAAGGTGCTAAGCCCCAGGCAGCTTAATACTTCTGTAAGAAATAGAGTTGTGTGCTTTTTTTTTTCTCTCTCTCCTGGAGATGAAGGGTCAGGAATAAAAAGTTTTTCTTTTTTTATTGTATTACGGTATTTTGACCCCCAAAACATAGACTCTTAATTACTGTGATCAGTGAGTCACTAAGCTCACCTAATCTGAACAGTTGGGGGCCCTGAACAGAACCCCAGGCCTCCTGACAACCAAACTGAATCTTTACTGGTAATCAGTTCTTTGGCTTGGCTTTGTGATCCTTACTAGAAAGTAAGGTGAATACAACATAAAATTCTTGATAAGTCTTTCTGAATTTCCCTTAAAATTTGATCTCTCTAACATTTCTGTCCTAGAAGTGTTCATGACACATTGTGTATTTTAGATAATGTAGGGTTGGCAGTGTTTTATAGTGGTAGAATAAGAAATGCTAGCTATATTCTTGCAAGCGTTAGAGAAAAATAAGGAATCATTCACATTCCCAGTTTCTACCTCCTATTTTCTTCCTCTTTTTTGTTCTGATTAGAAAAGTAATTTATGCTTATTGAATAATTTCTTTGATATTTTGCATATTTAGGAAAATGTGTTATGACTGCTTAAATTTTCTCATTGTAAACATTAGGATGAATCTTATTAGTACTAGAAGTTCATAATTTTTCTGAATCAGAAAGAAGATGGTGCTAATTATAAATAGTAATTTGTCCCACTCTGAAGTCACCTTCTCTAATTAAACCAGACTTCTAGTGAGAGAGTGAGTACCTGGAGATAGGGCCAAGCTTTATTTCTGAAGAATTCTTTTTTCCTACTTCTGAGTGATAGATTTCAGGTGAACACTTTGAAGAAAACAAACTTCTGATTATTCAACATAAAATTATTTTCTATGTACTATGTATAAAGAACCTCCTGGGAACTAACTGGGGGACTATAAATATGATTCAGTCTTATGATAATAGTGATGACTTTGAAGACATTTTACTTAGCAAATATTTGTATATACTTTGTGCTGGTTTTTTGGGACTTGGGAGATGATGAAGATATAGTCCCCCACCTTAAAGAGCACACAATTCTGTGAGTAGCAAACCATCATTTTTAAACACAGTTCTGTTTTAACAAGGTCAATAATGACTCTATTATAGAATATTATGGGATACTAGAGATAATAAACCTTTTTTTTCTTTTCTTTTTATTATTATTATTTTTTTGTTTTTTTTCGGAGAGATAATAAACCTTGATGTTAGGGAAGAAGAAGGGGATCAGGCAAGGCTTCCCAGAGGGAGGTATATATGAATTAACATGAATAAATAGAAGTTTGCTAGATAGAGTGTGAGTGTTGCTTTTTTGTTTTGTTTTGTTTTTTTTTTGCGGTACACGGGCCTCTCACCGTTGGGGCCTCTCCCATTGTGGAGCACAGGCTCCGGACGCGCAGGCTCAGCGGCCATGGCTCACGGGCCCAGCCGCTCCGCGGCATGTGGGATCTTCCCGGACCAGGGCACGAACCCGTGTCCCCTGCATGGGCAGGCGGACTCTCAACCACTGCACCGCCAGGGAAGCCCTGTTTTTTTGTTTTTTTGAAGTTCTTCTGTTGGGATAGGATGATGGTGGAGAGATTGCAGACTGAAAGTGAGGATATGGATGTGAGGGTGGAGAGTATGAGCCAGATCGTATAAGCTTACGGTGTGATAAGGGGTTTTAATATTTATATACTTTCACAGTGCACTGGCAAACCATTGCCATTTCTTAAGCATTGGGGTCAGATGATTTGACTTCATTTTAAAGAAGCTTACTTTGATTGCTCTGTGTTTAATGAAAGAGACAGGGGTGGAAGTGGGGAGGTTAGTTAGGAACTTGTCATGGTAGTTCAAGTGAAAGATAATGGTGACGGTTTAGAAGTAGAGTCGAAGAGTAGTAGGCTGATTTGAGAGATACTAAAGAGGGAAAATAGACGGGACTTGGTGCTGGATTTAAAATGAGATAAAGAGAGTCAAAACTTAGTCCCAAGTTTCTGCTTATGCAGTGGGATGTTTGGTACCATTAGGGCTTATTGATGGGGAAAGCAGGTTGGAAGAAGTATTGAAATCCTGATTGCTTAAATGCTGGAGAGGGTGTGGAGAAAAGGGAACCCTCTTGCACTGTTGGTGGGAATGTCAATTGATACAGCCACTATGGAGAACAGTATGGAGGTTCCTTAAAAAACTAAAAATAGAACTACCATATGACCCAGCAATCCCACTATTGGGCATATACCCTGACAAAACCGTAATTCAGAAAGAGACATGTTCCACAATGTTCATTGCAGCACTCTTTACAATAGCCAGGACACGGAAGCAAGTTATGTGTCCATCAACAGATGAATGGATAAAGAAGATGTGGCACATATATACAATGGAATATTACTCAGCCATAAAAAGAAACGAAATTGAGTTATTTGTAGTGAGGTGGATGGACCTAGAGTCTGTCATACAGAGGGAAGTAAGTCAGAAAGAGAAAAGCAAATACCATATGCTAACACATATATATGGAATCTAAAAAAAAAATGGTTCTGATGAACTTAGGGGCAGGACAGGAATAAAGGCGCAGTTGTAGAGAATGGACTTGAGGACACGGGGAGGGGGAAGGGCAAGCTGGGACGAAGTGACAGAGCAGCATTGACATATATACACTACTAAATGTAAAATAGATAGCTAGTAGGAAGCAGCTGCATAGCACAGGGAGATCAGCTCAGTGCTTCGTGACCACCTAGACCCGGGGGATCGGGAGCGTGGGAGGGAGCCACAAGAGGGAGGGGATATGGGGATATAGGTATACTAGCTGAATCACTTTGTTATACAGCAGAAACTAACACACCATTGTAAAGCAGTTATACTCCAATAAAGATGTTAAAAAAAAAAACATCCTGATTGCTCAGGTAGAGATGTTGAGTACACAGTTGGATATATGGTTTGGAATTCAAACAAGTTTGAGATGGAGATGTACATTTAAGGATCATTGGCATAAAGACAATATTTAAAGACATGGTATTTGATTAGTCAGGGTAAGTAATGCTAGTTTCTCTGACAAACAACTCCCCAAACTCAAGGGTTCCAGTCAACATACTGTGTTTATTTCTTGCTCATATCACAATGCATTGTGTTTCAGGCAGCTTTCCTGGGCAACTCTTCTCCAAGTGGTGACTCTCTGGGCTCTTCCCATCTTGTGATGCGGTCCTCTTAAACATATGACCTGCAGGGTTGCCATGGAAGGGGAAGAGCAGGAGTGGGTGCTCTTGGGGTGGTGTTATATCTCACTCCTGCCCATATCCCATTGGTCAGAGTCCAGTCATATGGCCCTCACCAAATTACAAGAGAAGCTGAGAAATGTAGTCTTCCTGCATGCCTCGAAAGAGGAAAATAAATGGAGTTTGATGAACAGATAGCATTGTTTCTGCAATGGCAGTGGAAAAGACCTTTCAGGCAGAGAATGTAGAAAGAGTAGAAGACAAGGCCCAGGATGGAACCCCCCCTTACCAAAACCTGCCCTTTAGAAGTTGGGTAGGGACTTCCCCGGTGGTCCAGTGGCTAAGACTCCATGCTCCCAGTGCAGGGGCCCCGTGTTTGATCCCTGGTCAGGGAACTAGATCCCACATGCCGCAACTAAGAGTTCGCATGCCACAGCTAAAGATCCTGCGTGCCGCAACAAAGATCCTGTGTGCCACAACAAAGATCCCGTGTGCTGCAACTGAAAAAAAAAAAAAAAGAAAAAGAAAACAAAAGAAATTGGGTAGAGGGAACAAAGGAGTTGAGAAAGAATGGCTAGAAATTGGGGGTGGTGATAGGTGGGTGGTAGAAACTAAAGGAGTATGGTGATATGGAAGCCAAGAGGATTTTTCAAGAAGGAAGGAGTTGCCAGATGTATGAGATGCTGCTGAGATGTTAAGATACTAGAAAAGTTGGTAGCAACATGGAAGGGAGGAAGAGTTGATTGATGGTCCTTGTGAGTGCAAAATGGAAAGAATCCAGAGCAGAAGGGAGGGGATTTGCCTTTAATGGGAGTAAGGGCAGGGGATGAAAGAGAAAATGGACTCAGATACAGAAAGGTTTATAACTGCAAAGGTGAGGCAAGTTTCTACCTGGTGGTGGAGAGGCATTGTTGAATAACAATTATTTCCATGGACCCTACGTCCAGATAACCTGGGTTTGGATCACTTCTCTCATTTACTAGAAGTGTGACAATGGGCAAGTTACTTAATCTCTCTTGCCTTGGTTTCCTCATCTGTAAAATGGGGATAATAACATTACATATGTTTATGTTAGGAGTAAATGAATAAATCTATGTAAAATGTTTTAAACATTGTTTGGTATGTGTTAAACATATAAAGTTGCTTCTTTCTACTTTTTCTTTTCAGTACGCTATAATACAAAGCCATCAGTTGAGAAGTGGGTGGGGGAGCTTGGTATATTTTATGAATGAGGAAAAGATGTGAAACATAGGATTGCCTTTGAGATTGATGATTATGATTTATATTGTCACCCTTCTGCTGTGCTCTGAGATTTTCTCCAGGAGCCTTGAGCTGTGTAGGTGGAGGCCCAAAGAAATCAGGTGGTTGGGTTTATCGAGGTCTGGCTTTTTCTCAGGAGAGTGTGACTGAGCAGCTGGGGAGGAGCACAGAGGTTAAGGGTATGTAGAGGAAAGAGGATCAGACCTCTGAGACGACAGTGAGAAGGAGAGAGGTCTAGTGGGATGAAACTTCTAATGTACCATATTATTATTTATTATGTTCATTGTTTGTGGTTTATCTTTACCTAATAGAATATAGGCTTCATGAGGGCAGGGATTTTTATGTTTGTTTTTTCTTTTCACTTATATAGTCTGCACCTAGAATAATGCCTGGTACATAATAGGCACTCATTAAATATCTGTTAAATAAACTAAATGAAGCATAATAATCTAGGTGAGATGATGGTAGAAGTGGTGAGAAGTGGTCAGATCCTGGATATATTCTGAAGAGAGATCTGATAGGATTTGCTGATGGATTGGGTGTGGGGTGTGTAAGAAAGAGAGGGGTCAAGGATAGCGCCAAAGGTTTTGGCCTGAGCTACTAAAAAATTGGTGTCACCATTTGCTGAGATGGGGAAGACCATGAGAGGAGTTTGAAGATGGACAGTTCAGATTTGGATATCAAGTCTCAGATGTCTTTTAGACATCAAGTAGAGACTAAGTCAGGTAGGCAGTTTGATATTTGATTCTAGAGTTAAGGGAGAGGTTTGGCCTGGAGATACACTTTGTCCGTCATTAGCACACCTATGGCTTTTTTTTTTTTTTTT